CCTATGAAGTTGGTTCGCAACCCGCCATAAAACCAGAAGAAGAAGTCCAGTCAGACGAGTTCTCTGTTATCACCTGTAAAACTATGACCTGAAAAAAAGACACAACCAAAAGCTATATTATAAAACAGAAGACATTCCAATAATATCAGACTAGCCTGTCTTGGCATTTGGGAAGTAAAATGCCTTCTCCTAAAGCGCGGAGCAGCGGCAGTGTTCCGTGTACCGGTGGAAACGGACGCTACGAGTTCATTTCTCTAAGCCGAGCTGCCCCGCCGCAGCTGCTGCAGAGGCAAGGCTCTGATCCCACCACGGCCCGGCTCCGAGCCTCCGAGAGCCCCAACCGACGACGCGGCTCGGGTTCGTCCACTTCTTCCACCGGCGGGCAGCAGTTACCGGAGGAAGACTGTATGAAACTAAACCCGTCTATCGTCGGCATCGCGCTCAGCTCTCTGCTGGCCATCGACCTGTGGCTGTCGAAGCGGCTCGGGGTGTGCGCCTGTGAGGACTCGTCCTGGGGCAGCGTGCGACCCCTCATGAAGCTCGTCGAGATCTCAGGACACGGGATCCCGTGGCTGGCCGGTGCCGCGTACTGCCTGTACAAAAGCGACAGTGCCGCCGGTCAGGAGGTCATGCTGAACCTGCTCACGGGTAATGCGCTTTAACTGCTGCTATTCATTTAAATGGTCGCTTTCAAAATGAGTTTGCCATAGAAGAGGGGTGTTCAGTCTTTTAGATTGCATGGACCACCAAATATGATCGTCTTCATGCGAGGGACCCCATCCTAAAATTTAAAAGGCTATATATTATTAATACTGTGTAAAATATAATTATTGTAAAATGTTATTTGTAAAATATTTAGGTTTGATTACGTTACATTGCGTTTTAGAAAATGGTACGTTACTGTACTGTTAGATGTATTGAGTAAATCAAAATGCATTTTATTTATTTACTTTTATCAATTATTCTAATCCATAGTTTTGATTTATTTAGTTAAGTAGTTAAGTCCACTTTTATTTTAATCAATTTATTTATTTTAATTACATTTATTATTTTTTTTATTAGTTTTTTGTTTTATTTTAATAAAATGTATATATTTAGACAAATCTTTATTTATCCTTTAATTTTTTATTGGGGGGGGGGGTTACACAGATTTTACGCAGATTTTTACACAGACCACCTTGCACTCTCTTGCAGCCCCCTGTGAGTCCCCGGGCCCCAAAGACACCACTAAGTTAGTAAATCAAGCTTAACTCGGTAATGATGCTCTTGCAGTGTAGCTCAGTAGGGTAAGGTGTTCCTAGTGTTCAAAATAGGAATGTGATGCTTTTTGTTTATTCTTCTGTACAAAATATGTTATTTGTGAGAGAAAGTCTAAATAGCCTTGTTGGATGGTGCAGCATTGTAGAATAAAATGTGTAAGTCGTTTCAATTTCAACCTCAGGCCTTATTAACTCTAAAACTGTCATTCGAAAAATTTATTAGAAATTTTCAATCGGAACATCAAATGTCAATTTCCTGATTTTAAGACCGTAAACTAAACAACTTTACTGAACCTGGACCATTTCTTTGAAATCATGACATGGACGTCCATATATGTCCATCTGCCTGTTTGTTTTGTCAGCACAGCTAATATCAATCTTAGGCTGGCTTTGATTCCTTATACATTTTCTCCACTCTTTCTGGCCCTATTTAAGGCTCATTTTCTTTGATGTATGACTCCTATCATAACCCACTGGTGTATCTGCAGATGAGACAGGTTTCCGTTTATTTTGGATTTCCATTATTGATGTGGCTTATTGGCATCCCGTTTAAAATACAACAGTCTCCTTGATTGTTCCTGCAGAGAGATCCAGACATATTTATCATGATTCTCAGCAGTATTTCCAGAGGATAAATGGAGAGATAATCACTCACTTACTAGGGGGGGGGGTTACACAGATTTTACGCAGATTTTTACACAGACCACCTTGCACTCTCTTGCAGCCCCCTGTGAGTCCCCGGGCCCCAAAGACACCACTAAGTTAGTAAATCAAGCTTAACTCGGTAATGATGCTCTTGCAGTGTAGCTCAGTAGGGTAAGGTGTTCCTAGTGTTCAAAATAGGAATGTGATGCTTTTTGTTTATTCTTCTGTACAAAATATGTTATTTGTGAGAGAAAGTCTAAATAGCCTTGTTGGATGGTGCAGCACTGGTTGTGCATGGATGAATTTCTGCTTATTATGAGTTACATGTGTCATTCCTGTAAGTAGATTTTTCAGTAAACCGTTTTTTACTGTTATCCTTGTGCATATCATGTGAAAGTTAATGGGTTTACATGGTCGTGACCATGAGGTTAAAAACAGATACAATTTTGCACAGACAGTGTTGGTGGGCAAAATTCTTGTGATGTATTGTGAAGTCTTGTGGCTATAATTTGGAAACTGTATTTTAAGGTTTATTCTTGCTGCATTGCATCATAGACTTGCATTGTAATTGCGTAGTGTCTGCATGATATTTGTCAGTTTTTATGAATCAATTTATTCTAAATAATTTAGCTGCTAAGACCAGCTAAGATCAGAATTCACTCCTGAGGTGTGTGTGTGTGTGTGTGTGTATGTATGTATATCCATCTGCCTGTTTGTTTTGTCAGCACAGCTAATATCAATCTTAGGCTGGCTTTGATTCCTTATACATTTTCTCCACTCTTTCTGGCCCTATTTAAGGCTCATTTTCTTTGATGTATGACTCCTATCATAACCCACTGGTGTATCTGCAGATGAGACAGGTTTCCGTTTATTTTGGATTTCCATTATTGATGTGGCTTATTGGCATCCCGTTTAAAATACAACAGTCTCCTTGATTGTTCCTGCAGAGAGATCCAGACATATTTATCATGATTCTCAGCAGTATTTCCAGAGGATAAATGGAGAGATAATCACTCACTTACTAATCCCATTACAGCAATTGTGTTATTCCACTGACTCCCTTGTTGCTTTGACATTTCATTCATTAACGTTGACCGGTTTTAAAACTAGATTGAACTGGATGGCTTACTCAGCTTGTTAATGAAACAGGGTGATATGCACAGGGCCTGGCATCTATGCTTGGTCAGTTTCCAGATGTAATTTGCTACAGCTTCTTCGCCCAATTTAACATCTTTTATTAAACATTTCATTCATCCTGGAAATCACAACAAATTGTGTTCAGGGGCAGTTGTAATCAATCATAAAATATTGTGAAAAGACCTTTCCACTCATCACTGTGGAAAAATCTCAAATGTGTAACCAGTTGTAGTTGGCCATGATTGGTAATGGTTGGTTCCCATCAACAGGACCTACTGCAATTTATACTTCTAAAACACAAGTGATACATTTGCTTTAAAAATGGGTTTGCATTAAAACAAAGTGCCAGAAAAACCCATTGCCTGAAATGCTTTTGATGTCTTTAAAGCCCGCCTTTCTGAAAAGCCCAATCTGCTCTGGTTGCTCAGCTGGCCCAGTCTGTTTTGATGTTCTTTGATGTTCTGAATTTCTTCTTCATCCTGAAAACTTGAAGCTGTATTTTTTTTTAAAAAGTGGATATTTGCAGTCTAAAAATTCAGAACAAAAAATCTGCTGTTGGAAATTACATGTTTATAAAACTCTCACATAAAAAATTCAATTGTGTTCAATTTTAAATGTTCAATATTCAAGTTAAAATCGAATTCAGAACTATGTTAAATACCACATAATATTCAGTTTTGCTAAATGACACTTGTCAAGAATTCAAATTTACACAGTTCAAATTCAAATAGTTTTGTCATATTTTAAGCTCCATATTAAGGTCCTATAAAGGCCCATTCACACTGCACAACAGACGCAGTCAAACTGCAACAAATATGTTCATCAGGTTTTGCCGGATCAGTGCATTACTCCTGTTGCCGTTGATCGGCCCTTGTTTTTCTGGTTGTTTGTCGGGTCTTGGAAAATGTCATACTGCAATCTAATGACTGTTGGCTAGGTCTGCGTCTGTCGATGCTATGTGAACTGGCCTTAATATTTAAGTTTGCCTGACTTCAGTCAAATTCAGCAATTTCTCAGTTGTCCAGTTTTTCATGTTTTCATAATTTGTTTTTCAGCCTTGGTTCTGGACCTGGTCCTGGTCGGCGTGATGAAGGCTGTAGTGCGGCGGCGACGTCCTGCCCATAACCGTATGGACATGTTTGCCACATTCTCTGTGGATGGCTATTCCTTCCCATCAGGCCATGCCACACGTGCTGCAATGTGCGCCCGCTTTCTATTGGCCCATCTGGTGCTGGCGGCCCCACTCCGCGTTCTTGTCCTGCTCTGGGCCACATTTGTTGGTTTTTCTAGAGTTCTCCTCGGACGCCATCACGTGACGGATGTCGCGTTCGGTTTCTTCATGGGCTACTGGCAATATAATTTGGTTGAGATGCTCTGGTTGTCTCCAGTCATGTTGCAAAGCACGATTGGACGGCTTCACTGAGAAGCTAAGACTGAGGTCCCCATTATTTGGAGGATTTCTAGACTCATTCGGTTGCTGCCAGTATGCTGGTAATAATTCCATCATGTCTGCCAAGTTGCTTTATGTGTGTTTTTCACGTTTTCTGTGTCTTAACTTGAATGTAAAATCTCACATATCTTCTGCCAGTAATATCCAAGGTTTTAGGTTCACATTAGATCACATTGAACAGATAAATGAGTTTTAGTTGGGGAAGTGAAAACAGACTTTACTTCTTTTCCATCACTTTTCCATTTCTCTACTACTTCTGTCAATACTCTGAGATGTGATAGATTACTCCAGTCTTAATGAATCCGCTGCCATCCTGTTCTGCTCTTTTCAGGATTGGTCCATATCAAAAAAGGAGGATGGATGGGATGATCTCTGGCTTCTAACATCAGTGTTCTTGTTTAGAGAATAAAATCTCACCATTGTGATCCTACATTTTTATAACACCTGCAACACTAGGCAACATCTTGAAGATTTTGCTTCCATTTTAATCAAAACCCAGCCAGATCTGTAATTAACTAGAAAAGCTCTTCATGAATGAATATTTAATTGAGCAAGGGAAGAGTAAATTTCAGCACAGATCTAATACCTTTAGGGTATGTGGCGTCCTCAATAGACGTTCAAGGGGGAGTAGTTGTTATCATCTCTGAAGGGTTCCTCATTACACTGATATCAATCTAAAGTCTAAAGTCTTTAGTTTGTGTTTTAAAGATCTGTTCTGTGTTCGTGTCTCAAAAGAGTGAAATTGTTCTTTTTCTGTGCTTTTATTGTGACCTTGTTAGCCACTGTTAAATTTTATTGCACTTTTTGATGCAGTCTTATTGATCTGTGAATTAGACGTTTGTTGTATTTTGCTACGGTTTTATTCAAATTTGCTGGTTTTTAATTGGGTTAAAGCCACAGCTGTGATTATAGAGCCATAAATCACATGACATTCTGCAGATTGTTGCCATATATCACGGAAGAACCAGTCATAATGACCGTTTGGTAGTACTAAGCAGGTGTAAATTGCACCATGATGGCCATAATTTTGAATAAACTCAGACGTCACTCTCAGACTAGACCAAGAAGTACTCTGGTACTGGACTATATGTCAGAACTGAGTGATAAATATATTTATGTACCAGTCTTAAATGGTGTTTGAAAAAAAATAGTTCAGCCAAAAATGAAAATTTACTGAAAATATTCTCACTTTCAGGGCGTCCAAGATTTAGATGAGTTTGTTTCTGCATCAGAACAGGTTTGGAGAAATTTAGCATTACATCACTTGCTTACCAATGGATCCTCTGCAGTGAATGGGTGCCGTCAGAATGAGAGTCCAAACAGCTGATAAAAACACACAATCCACATGACTCCAGCCCATCAATTAAAAGGGTTAGTTCATCCCCAAATGAAAATTCTATCATTAATTACTCACCCTCGTGTCGTTCCAAACCCGTAAGACCTTTGTTCATCTTCGGAACACAAATTAAGATATTTTTGATGAAATGTGAGAGCTCTCAGACCCTGCATAGACAGCAACGCAACTGTAATGTTCCCAGGTCCAGAAACGTAGTTAGGACATCGGTAAAACAGTCCATGTGACATCAGTGGCTCAACTTCAGTTTTGCGAAGCTACGAGAATATTTTTTGAGCGCAAAGAAAACAAAAATAACAATTTATTCAACAATTCTTCTCCCCCGAGTTACCTCTTCTGCCATTTTAGAGAGTATCACACTGCATACGCACACTTTCCCCTAAGTGTAAATAATGCTGATTACGCAGATTACGTTCATGCGCGCTTTCGCCTCCGAATGTAAACAGGGCTGATTACGTCGATTACGTTCTTGGGTACTCTCCAAAATGACGGAAGACGACCCATATTACATGTAATTTAAGTAATAATAATAATAGTGTAATTTATTTTTTTTTTCATTTCAGTTTCATTCCACAGTTTTTTCTTCAGTCTCTTGAAATCGTTGTGTATTGATGTCAAATCTGTCATTTCTGTTTTTTTTATCAGCATGTATTATGTCACAGTGTGTGTTAAAAGATTTCACCCACTCTGTTCAACCCTTTCAGGCAGAACCAACACTCACGCACACAGATTTGCTGAATGGTTAAAAGGGATTTTTGAATCACTGTCAAGCTGACTGTCAGCTTTATCCAGGCATAGCTCTTCCTCATTTAAAGTACTGTAGCATCAAAGATGTTTTGGCAAATCTACCCCAAAATCTAGAGATTGATATGAAATATTTATCCTCTGGCAGCACTTGCCCTCAAATTGATTTGCTGTAATAAGTTTCTGATGGAGTTTCAAGACAGCCATATGCACATTTTTCCTTCACATTAGTTGGCTTTTCTTGAAACTGCAATCATTTGATCATTTGTGCAATATCACAATACAAGTGGCAGATGGCATCCCTTTAAATGGTACTGGGAAATAGTTTGCGCAAAATCGTCCCAGTACTTTAGTACTGTACATTTAGTTCTGGAACTAAAGCGGTGCGAAAGGCCCTAATGTTATTTTTAAATTGCAATAACTACGCTGTTTTGGTGATGTGTTTGTTTGAAAGGGACCATGTGTGTTGTTGTGTGGGGTGGGTGGGTGTGTGTGTGTGTGTGTGGGGTGGGGGGGTTCTCTCTTTCTCTTTTGGAGATGGGGAGGGAAAACATTTTTATTTGATTCAAGTGTTTTCGGTATACAGTCATTTGAAATGGCTTTACCAGCTATTTCAAAATCTGACATTTGATTGTTGTGTAGTCTGCAGTGTAAAGTGGCAATGTACATTCACCAAAGTCAAAATGACAAGGGATATTATTCATAAGCTTAATGTGGTGACTGCTATGACTATTGATTATATTTGTGATGTAAAATATACTCTACATCCATCGAAATATGATTGTATTTTCTAAATAAATATGAAGGCATCAATGCTTTGTTTCTTTTTTTAATTAATTAAATAATTCATTTTTTTCTTTGAACATCTAATCGTGTGAGTAAATCTTTGACACTGTAGTGTAAAGCACAAAAGTCCACTTCAGCTTGATATCTGTTTTACAGTAAGCTCTGACTCAGAAGATAAGAAGCTCAATCAATCAACTCAGAACGATCAATATCTTGCACCATTTGTAACATGTTTTATTGCTGTAAGCTCTTCCATATGGAGGCATAATAGGTAAATCTGTATGAAAATAAACCTGTGTTATAGAACAAATAACAAAACACGTAATCTGGTTCTAACATGTACATAAAAAAAAACATTTAAGAATGTATTTTGGTCATATTTCAATGTAAACACTCAACCCCTCCTTCAAGACTTTGTTCCAGCTTGTATTTGTTTTCTGCCCATGTATTTTAGAGCATACACCCTTTTTTTTGTATTTTAGAGCATACACCCTTTTTTTTTTACAGGTCCCATATCACATATTGCAATGCGTTCATGAGGAAATGCTTCATCAGTGAGTCATAACTCAAAACCCAGATAGCAAAATTCCTGAGGCCCAGATCAGGCCCAAACCTGACACTTTCATCTGGCCCACATACCGCGTGGAATGATGGCAATTGGGCGGTCCACTCCTGTTTGCCAGATTTGGGCCACAAGCAAGCCAAAAGAAGGCCCAATGTCAGCTATGAATAAACCAAATAAAGCAGAACTGGCCCAAATCTGGCCCACATTGATTTTAATTCTGGCCCAGATCCAACACCTTGCCCCAGCCCACATAATGTGAAGAATGATGGCATTTGGGTGGACCACTCCTGTTTGCCAGATTTGGGCCACAAGCAAGTCAAAGGAAGACCCAATTATAACATTAAAATACATTTCTTTTAAATGTATAGCATATTTTTT